GTATTTGGTATCAAGTAAACAATGTTTTGAGTATAATGTAAACTTCTTAATTATCAATATGATGGTTGTATGACTTTGATCACTATTATTCATTATGTTATGATATTGTACATGAAGTCATCCACTCGCAGACGTTTCCGCCGTTCTGGTTTGGGGATGTGACAACTTTAGTGTTTGTAGTTTGAGAGTTGTATTGTTTTTGATTTCTTCTTTGTTCTTCCTCTTCTTGAGAGTAGAATATAGTGATTTTGTAGTGAGGTCTTTTGTATCTAAGTGTGATTGAATTTGTAGTGAGTTTTCATTTGTATGTTATGAATACCAACTGGTTCTTATAATAAAAGGGTTATTGATGTTGTGCAAGTTTTAGTTCATCTTTTTATTAAATATATTATTATTTAGAGTTATGTTGGTTTTTTTATTGTACATATTCAATTGCATTTAAAGGGATTTTTCAGTAAGTTTTTTGTATCTACCTTTTAATTTTATTTATTTAAAGGGATTTTTTTTTTCAGTATTTTTTTATATCTACCTTTTCATTTTATGCATTCAAAGGGTTTGTTCTTAGCTGATTTTATTTGTATTCTTAAAGAGACTACTGGAACTATTAGAAAGCAGGAGTAACTTTAAAGAAAAACTAAGAGAGCACAAAGAATTTGAAGATAAATTACACATTTTTCGACTTAAGAAGATCATAGTCAAGAAGGAAATTGGAAAAGAAGACAATTGTTACTCGTATGCTTGAAACATTTTCTTCGAAAAACCGTGAGAATAAGATGTAGAACACCAATGATATTTATAGACTGATTTGAATATGGAAAACATTTTCTTCCAAAAAAGGATCCTAAGCAATCAACAGAAAAATTATCGGTTTCTCTTTCGAAAAAAATACCGAAAAATTATCGGCTTTTCACATGAAAACATATCAATTATCTTATTTCAAAATTCAAATTTAATATATATTTTGCAGGAGACGATTAACGATTATACAACTAATTATTAGTCCATATACATAGAATGTATAATATGGAATATGGTATGAGTCACAAAAATTAATATAATATGAAATTAATTAATTAAACATTTAAATACCAAATTAATAAGGCTAAGACCTCTATAAGTGAATGTATATTATCTAATTTAAAATAAAAAATAATTTTTTGATTTGTGGATCCTTGTATTGTATTCAAATAAATCCAAATAATTTCAAAAACTATATAATTTAAATCATCTAACCACTTCAAATCAATTTAAATAACCTTTGTAAGAGAAATCGGTAATTGTATTCACATAGGAAATATGACATGCTTAGAATGCACCACGAAAGTAAAGATAAACCTCTAGAAATATAGAAATATGACATTTGGCATAAACTTATTTTAATCAACCATCTTTATAACATACTTCAATATATGGGTGTTAACAAACGGTCTAACATATATAAATTCCTCATTTTCTAACTGCATGAATCACTTATACAAACAACCATAAAATACTCATCTGAAATATTTGAAATCATATTTTTTTTATAAAAACACTAAAAAGGATAAAGATTGTGAATTTACTAACAAAAATCAGACAAACAAACATGGAAAAGTTTTCTAACAAAACCAGACACAGAAAAGTGAATTTTTTTAAACAAAATGATATCTTATAAAATTACCTTTAAATACATTGTACGAATTTTCATAGTATGGACTCTGATCTTTGTAGTCCACTCGACATGACAATACATGCCTTTTTTCATAGAAAATACATGTTTTTGAAATCTTTTGCAAATGACTAAGATTTTCGTAGGTGTACATCTGCGAAAATCTAAAAAAACCTGCAAACCACATACGTTTTTGTTGTTATAATTTGGGTATAACACATAGCCTTAATTATCCAGTTACAAAATGGGTAATGTGACCATAAAAAAGTAGTGATTTTTCTTCCATATTACAAATGCATACCTAAATTATTCAGTTACAAAACACGACTATTACATTGTTTGATAATTCTCATTGAGGACGCAGTGTAAGAGGATTCACCGTATCAGTTCTATATGTAGCTTAGTACATTATAGAAGTCAAATCAAAATTAACTAGTTAGTGAATGTCTTACACGATAAAAGATCTTAGCGCCTCTATCACGTGCCCACAAAGTATACAACTTTTTTTTTTATCATTCCCCACATGTACAGGTCCTGCGATCGAGATATACAAATCCAGTCTATAAAATATTTGTAACTTCAAAGACGAAGCTAGAGACATGTCTTGCCTGACAAACTTTATACTTTTGCATCCTCTTATGAAGCATCTTCTTAGAATAATGTGCGGGATCAGGAAAAACTCCCCTGCGCAAAAAATAACATTATTGTCATTAAATGCTAAAAGTAGTTATCCTTAAATAACGATAAATAATCTATAAATATGCATTTACACATGTTGAATTGACTCTCAAACATATGTTGAACCGCCTCACGGACAACCTTAATGTCTTTCGTTATCGGTAAATCTTATGTACCCACCGATAACCTTTTCATGACCATGGGAATATCAAATGTCATTACATTAAAATGGATTATAAGGGAAAGGCCCTTGCCCATTTCACAAGAGCAATATTGTCAAGCCAAAAAAGTTCATTCTCGTTAATTTGATTGATGATTGCATGTTGAAGTCTACCCAAACACATATAAATATCATACATCCTATAAGTTTTGCATGTATGCCAAAACAAAAGTTCCACTACTCTGTTGTAACCAATCATAACCCGTAAATTCTTAGCTACATTCCTGCAATAATACACATGATATGAATATGAGAAGCCAATACTAAGGGCTATCACTTATGAAGGCGATTTCCCTAGTGCCCCTAAGGCATTTCTTCAATCTCCTAAGGAACCAAGTCCAAGCATCGTTTGAGGAGTTGGAGAGATAAATTTATATTAGGTTCCCACCAACAAAATATCGATTTATGACATTATATTGAACAATATGTGCCTCTTCAACTGGATCTTATCCAACAAATATAGACGTATAGGAGTTTAAAGTTGAAGAATAATCTTTTTTAAATACACCACATCACCCTGATCGTCTATCTCTATAACATGCTTCATTATGAGGTGTTGGAAAGACAAATTTATATTAGGTATATCTTCCAAACTTTTCATTTATTTTTCCAGAGTTAATAAATATGGGAAACGTATATCGAACAAAATTTCAAAACCAAATTTTATAACAAACGTTGTAACGTATGTAAATTCATTATTTTTCTAACCGCCATGAACCACCGATACAAGGAACAATAAAATACTCATCTTGAATAATTTAAGTCATGTCTTTAACAAAATAAAAAAGGGTAAGCGACAAACAAATGTGAAAAAGTTTGTTAACAAATCCAAGCAAACGAATATGAAAAAGTTTGCTAACAAAACCAGACCAACAAATATGGAAAAGTTTGCTAACAAATCCAAACAAAGAAAGGTAGATATTTTTTTTAAAAAAATTGATATCTTTAAAATAACCATTTAATACATTGTACGGATTTTCGCTGTACGAACTCTGATATTCACAATCCACTAGACATGACAACACATGTTTTTAAAAAAAAAGTACATGTTTCTGATAGATTTCTGCAGATAACTAAACTTTTCATAGGTCACTAACTAACTGCAAAAACCTAGATTTATGCAGGTGTACGTCTTCGAAAATCTAAAAAACGAAATAAAATCGTTGGCCACCTAGAGTTTTGCAGGTGTTGACCTACGAAAATTATGACTATTTTGGCCAATTTTCTAATCTTTGACGATTTTTTAGAAGACGGTTGGTAGGATTAACGTAATATGTCATATTTTATTGGTGAAACAAAATATCAAATGCAAAATAATAACTCATAATAGCCCAACAGTCTCGGCTATGGTTGTATTTGTGGACCAAGACTATAATTTCAACGAACTTTTGATTGTGAGCTAAACAACTAAAAAAATAAAAAAAATTGCTTCATGTTTCTAACATGTGTCGGGTAAAGAAAGGGCTAAAGGTTAAACGTTTAATAAAAAATTCTTCATTTCTAGTCTCTTGTGGTTTTAAAATCGCACCATAGTAGAAATATTGGCAACCTCCTCTCACTCTCGAAACCCCAAAAATCCTGATAATCACGTCGCGATCATTATGTGGTTTAAAACCGAAATCGCACAACTTGAAACTGCATCATTTGAAAACCACACATTACAGTTTTAAGATTACAAAAGCTAATACATGTTGTTTGCGGTTTGATTTTGATTTAAAACTTGACCATATCACTATATAAACAGCTTGTTCCCGAGTTGTGGTTAACGAGAGAAAGGGAGGGATACAGAAGGAAGGTGAGGTATTTCGAAGGAAACTCGTGTTCCCGAGTTTAATCAATGGAAGGAAAGTGAGGGGAAGGAAAGGATTTTGGGGATTGATTTTCCTTCCAAAGTTTCCTCCCAAATTGGACGGAAACTGGAAGAAAATTGGAACGTATCTATCCTTGATCTTATTATGGACCATTACACCCTCAACCCTATTAATAAAAGATCACGTAGCCGCAAGTCTCCTATAATCGTCTTGCTCAACTTCCCTCGTCCTGCTCATATTCACGCCATACCCATCTGATCACATACCCATCTGATCAGGTACGCTTCATCCTCTCTATACAATTTCTTTTTCTTCATCTTCTACCTGCATGATGTTCCTAATGTGCAAAACGTGCTGATCAGTTGAAGTTACAATACAATTTTGATAGTAAATCAACCAGTTCATGTGAATGTTTGATATATATGCACATATTTTACAAGTTTTAGTTAAACATATAAATTGATTATCATATCTCAATTACAATTACTCTCGTTTAAACTAATTTGTTCCAATCCAACCTCGACAGTGATGTTATTTCACTCAATACTTGATACACATTCTCAGATTGAGGGTGTGATTTATCAGTAGACAAGAGCTCATGAAACACACCCTCACTTGTAAATAACTACACCCTGGTGTTTTCTTAACCATTCCCTCTCATTACACTTCTAATCTTCTTTACCTCATCCCATTTACATCTACTTGCATATAAACTTTCCATAATCACATAAACATCACTATCATTTGGATCCAACTTAAGAAGCTTTTCAGTAGCAATTTTACCCAATTCAACATCACCATGCATCCTACACGCATTAAGAAGCGCTCCCCAAACAAGTTTATCCGCTTCCATTGGCATTTCTCTTATCAACTCATAAGCTTCATCCAAAACCCCAATTCTTCCAAGTAAATCAATCATACAAGCATAATGTTCCACTCTTGGTTTAACCCCAAACATGGTTTCCATCTCTTTGAAGTAGCTTCTTCCTTGAGTGAGTAATCCTCCATGGCTACAAGATGATAGCATACTAATAAATGTAACCACATCTGGTTTAGTGCTCATATTCAAACCACGTGTATAAGTTTGGTGCTCATATTCAGACCACCTGTAAGAGCACATGTTGAATCCTTGAAGATCTTAGGTAATAGGCACACAAGTTATAAAATTTATGATATCTTGAGTTCTTCTGCTATGTAATATTATCATTAATCATCATGATGAAAGACTTGGAAGTCAATAGTTAATATTTAATTTGTATTCTTTTTCATTGGATTTTTTTTCTTTTTTTCTTGATCAAATGATCGGTTCCTATTTCAATCTTTTTCATATTAGGATTTATAGTTTAGTGTCTAGCCGAAGTCATGCTTTTTTATGTTGCATTACTCATCCATCTATTATTGTGTTTAAGTTGTATTTTAGTATTAGGAGAGTGCCATGGCCAGCCAAGATGATGATGAGGGAAAAAAGACGAAGGCTAGTGGTTACTCTAATGTTCATGGCCACTGTAATACATTGTAGACTTTCGAAAAAAAGTAATCATAATTTACTAAGTAAGGAAGAAATATTAAAGCGTCAACTTGAACGAGAACAACTATTACACAAACTTGTAAAAGGTGGGAAATGTCATGAGCTTATTCGTGTGAGTGAGCTAGCTTTTACAAAGTTGTGTACTATCTTACAACGTGACGGTGGCCTGCGACCTACACAACGCATGTCTGTTGAAGAACATGTTTCAAGGTTTCTTCACATCATAGGTAACGATATGAGAAACACCATGGTCTCTTTCATGTATGGACACGCTAAATCTACAACAAGTAGGTGCTTCAATAGAGTTCTTCGTGCAATTATAGCATTAGAAAGTTACTACATTCAACAACCTATAGGGGATGTTGTCCCGAAATAAATTCAAGAGAAAAAGAGATTTTATCCCTATTTCAAGAATTGTGTAGGGGCAATTGACGGGACACACGTTCATGTAAAATTACCCAATAAGGATGTCGCTAGATATCGTGGTCGCAAGGATTACCCTATGATAAATGTCTTAGCCGCATGTTCATTTGATTTGAAGTTTACATACGTTTTAACCGGGTGGGAGGGTACTGCCTCTGACTCAAGGATAGTGAAAGATGCACTTAAAAGAGACGATAAACTACTAATTCCTAGGGGTAATTTCTATTAAGTAGTTTAATTTTGTGTGCATTCGTTTATTAGAAAATTAATTACATGTTATTTATAGGACGATATTGTTTGGTAGACGCCGGTTTGCCTCATACCCTTGAACTAATGACACCATATAGAGGTGTTAGGAATCATTTGAAAGAGTATTCTGCTCACCTCCCAGTGAACGCAAGAGAGTTGTTCAATCTTCGACATGCTTCTTTACGTAACGCGATAGAACGGGCATTTGGTGTTCTAAAAAGAAGGTTCCCAATCGTTAAAAGTACACATGAACCTTTTTACTCGTGTGACACACAATCAGACATTTTTGTGGCATGTTGCATCTTACACAATTTTTTACTCGACGAAGATCGTGACAAAAAACTTGAATATGAAGTCTTACAAGAGGTGTTGGATGAACAACCACAACAAGTGAGACATGATGTTAATAACGGACGTTTGCGTAGTAACGAGGCTGAGGAATTGAGGAACGCTATTACAACTCAAATGTGGGATGATGACTTGTTGAAACCAAACAATGATATAGATATGTCTAATTAGTTTTATAGTAGATCAATAATATGTCGATTTTAGTTCATTATGTTATTTTAGTTTAATTTTGTAGTGACATTTGCAATTTATTTATTTGATGGTGTTATTTATATTATGAGCCCTCTTATTCTTATATATATATATATATATATATATATATATATATATATATATATATATATATATATATATATATATTTGTCCAATTTTTTAACAATGTATGGCTCGTTATACTATCTTTGTATGTACAGAGCGACCATGACCAAAAGGGCAGCTGATGGAAGTGTAGTGAAAAAAGAAAATTTGACATGGGCAGATCATATGGATAACGTTCTCGTTGAAGCTCTAATAAATGAAGATCAAATAGGTAACCGGCTGAATGGTACATTCACTTCGCAAGCTTATGCGAACATGATTGCAGGGATGAGTAAAGAGTTTAATAGGTCTATTACAAAATATCAACTAAAAAATCGAATGAAAACTTTAAAATGTAATTTTAGTAAATGGTATGATATGTATCGGAGTACTTCGTTGAGTGGGTTCTCCTAGAATTCTCAAACAAAATACATTGAAGCAGAGGAGGAAGTATGGGAACAATTAATTAGTGTACGTGTTGGTGTTACATATGATTTATTGTTTTATATATTTTTCGTACCATTAACTTTACTAATTAATTTTTGGGTTTATTTATAAACAGGCTGACGCAGCTGCATTTAGGACCACGAAAATTTCAAACTATGATCAATTAGTGATGTTATTTTTAGATGATAGAGCATCGGGATCAAAAGCGGAAACAGCCAAAGAAAAAAACGCCCGGTTAAGCAAATCCACATAAATTAAAATAGAAAAAGTTGCTGATGTGGATAAACTAATGGCAAATAATGATGTAATTCTAGATAACAAACACAAAGATGATGATGATGACATTCAAATAGTGTTAGCAACATATGTTTCACCCGATGAGAGTTCAAAGGCCAAGAAGCTAAAAAGTAAAAAAAGAAAACTAGAAAGAAAACTTCAAGATGAAGATGAAGTAGTTGCTGAACCTGAACCTGAACCTCAACCAGAATCTTTTGAACACAATATTGTGCAAACATTTAAAGAAATCGTTGATGTTATGAGGGAAGGGAACAAATTTTGTGACTATACATGTGAGGAAATTGAGAAATAATTAGAGTTGATGGGTTGGATGTCGATGAATTTGCAGATGCTTTCATATATTTGTCGCGTAATCAAGCCGATGCTAGGACCATTTTTAGTTCTTCAATGAAGATGCGGAAGATCTTTCTAAGAAAGATGATGGATGGAGCTAAAAAGTGAGTCATATCTTGAAGTTTTATGTTTTTTTTTTTGTTTTTTATGGTAGTTTGCATTGGACTTTATTTGTAAGAGTTGAAATTTTTATTTTCTAGTTTTTCTTTGTTGACTTGAGTTTATTACATTAGTTGATTGTTTGATTAAAAGTTTTTGGTTGATTTTGATTCCCAATGTAGTTGATTCGTATTGTTTATATGTTCTATACATGATGTGTAAATAAGGGTATAATTGTAATCTTTTAATTTTCTTTTCTTTTCCCTCCTAACTCCGAACACATAAACTTAAAATTTTCCTTTAATTTACTTCGAACTCGAACTTGGGAACACGGAATACATAAATTTTCCTTCCCCACCCTTCCCTTTTGACAATATTTTCATTCCCTTTCTTTTAATGAATTTACAAAAAGTACAAAAAAAAAAAAAAAAAAAAAAAAAAAAAAAAAAAACTCAAGGCGTAAAAGTTATAAAAAGTTACAAGCAAATAATCCAAAAAAAGAAAGCTTTTAGAAATGGATCCGCAGATATTCGAAAAAAAGATGCATCGTGCCCTCAAGGCCTCAAATTTGGGGACTATTTGTGGATTCATCAGCAAAATCAACCTTGCACGGCAGAAGAGGCATATACGTACACACCGACCACCAGACTGATTCCAAAGATTTTGGGGTGAAAATCCCCACAAAATCAGGCGCTAATGGCAGAAGAAGAGGAGGTATTGATCGAAGTTGAAGCTGCAGAATCGGTGTATGGCGACGATTGCGTAGTTCTCGCACAGTACCCTCCTCATCTCCACCTTCTAATCAAGCCTCGAACCGCCGATGTTTCCTCTCAACAGGTTTCTATTAAGATCTCGCAGTTTCCTTTTTTACTTGCTGATATACTCCATCGATCATTCGAAAAGGAGCTAATTTGTGCTGGGTATAGTAAATTTCAAAATTTATTGCAGTTGTTATAAAGCTAGTTGTACAAGGTCGTATGTACATGTGTGAATTCTTATTTTTTTGAGCTATGTGATGATTTCGTGCCAATTAGATGAAAGAGCTGGAGTTGTGTATTCTATAATGAACTAATGAACTAATGATTAATATCTATGGTGAATGAACATTGCTCATTTCCCCCTAGGGTTACTAAACGTACCAGAAACCTCAAGAGAGCTTCAAATTTTGTTTGCAACTTTGCATTAGTTATTTCCTTTTAACATCCAGTTAAAATTATTTGACATCCTTTATTTAATCTCTCTTGATAGTGATAAATCTCAAATACACTCATGTTCTTGTTTCTCTTTGCAGTTTGTTGAAGCAGTTATTGGGATAAAAGCAAGCTCTAAGGTATTTGTAGTTTAACTTAAATCAATAGCATGGTGAAAGTAGGTTATGATTTCCTTTATTCTCTTTCTTTTAACTTCAGTATCCAGATGAACCTCCAGAAATTATGATTATAGAATCCAAGGGTTTAGATGAACAAAGACAAAAGCATCTCATAACTAGTATCCATGAAAAAGCATGTGAACTCTCTTCAAACTCAATGCTTGTAGCACTCTGTGAGGTATCATTGTCATTAAAAATTCTGTAAGGATCTATTTTAATTTTTAGCAAATAAATCTTTATTGATGTAGTTGAATTTTTACTAGGAAGCAGTTGAGAAGCTCACTAGCATGAATCACCCTGATGGAGATTGTCCCTTGTGTTTATCTCCTTTGGTTGTTAATGAAGAGGGTGCTTTGAATAATTCTCTACCTTTTATGAAATTAATGTCTTGTTTCCATTGCTTCCATTGGTAAATAAATATCTTATTCTTCCCTAAATTCTTATGAGCAAAAGCAAATGATGTCTTTGTGAATTATGAACTCTAATTTTGTTCATCTTATGCAGTGAGTGCATTATCAGGTGGTGGAATTGGCTCCAAATGCATCCAGAAGTTAATCATCATGCTAATTCATCTACACATGCACACCAGATTAAAACTCAACAAGGTATTCTACTTAAGGGTATTAAAAATGTATTATTATATGCTTTTATTTGACTATAAGTTGACCAAAAGTATTGTACTTAAGGGTACCAAGGGTGGGCCCTACAGATTCACAAAAAGCATATCAAAGTTTCTCCCAATTGTAGCAACAATAAAAATGTGGATCACCTTTTTCTTTCTGTCACTAGTAAAAAGGGTATTTTAGACATTTGACTAATATGTTTATTGAACAGAAATGCAAAAAAACATGGAAGATCGAATGGGAATCTGCCCTGTATGTAGAAAAGTGTTCCATTCCAAAGACATTGAACATGTGCTCAACTTAGTGGGGACTTACTCTCAATTGGTATGTCCACAAAAAATATAATTTTTTTTTTTCATGTGAGTAAATGACCATTTTACCCTTGGATTTGACTTTCAGAATCTCGATGACACCGAAGATACAAAAAACGATACGATTCTTAATTCGGATTCAGAAAACACAAGGCGAGAAAAGTTCGAGGCTACAATGAAGCTACAACAGGAGAACAATGGCTTAATCGAGCCAAAAAAGGCTGAAGTTCTCATGCCTGGAATGTTTCTTCCCCGCCCCACCACCACCACCACCGCCGGAGAACAGGCGGCGAAATCTGAGACGGATAGTGGTGTTCCGGCGAATAAGCCGAGTGGTAGTCACCGGAGAAGCTCAGGGTCGAGAAGCAAGTATAGAGGAAGGAATTCAAGAACTCAAGTTAATAATAATAGTAGACAATGGGTTGTTAAAGATAATGGAAATGTTTAGTGAATGTGTGTTTTTCAAAATTTTAAATTCGTGGAAGAAAACTACAAATTTTGTCCCTCTACTTGTGAAAATTGCGCATTTGGTCCTTCAACTAAGGGTTTTGTACCTAATAGGTCCCTGACTTGCGAGGCAAATTAACCTTCAAGGTGGTGTTCGGAATGTAAAAGTTTTGTTTGATTTTTTTTTTCTTTAATTTCTGATACATTATAAGAATTAGTTATTTTTATTTATATAATCTTGAAATATTTCAATTAAATTAACCCTTTTTGTTATTTTCTGAATATAATTAGATCTTTTATTATAATTCTATTTTAAGATTTTAAGATTCGTGGTATTTTATTTTTGTTTTTGTTTTTGCAACCAATTTTCAAAGTAATAAAAAGATTGGCTATTTGACATAGTATATATAATGTATATTTCAAATGACCTGAAACATGTTGAAATATAATTTATTTGATCCAAGATTATTTTTATAAAATAACATTTTGTATTTGTTATTTGTTATTTTAATTTAATTTTGTTCCTAGCTATATGATTTCATTCCCTCGTACCATTACTTTGTTCATTACAAGCTTTTATGATTTCATTCCTTCATACCAAACAAACCCTTTTTTTTTTTTTTTTTTTTTTTCGTTTGTCTTAGAACACATTTAACTCGTAACTTTGGAAAAAAAAGTAACAAAAAGGGGTATACGTTGCTATATGAATTTAATGAGACGTTAATATTTTGTCTATATACACGTAATTCCATTAAACAAGTGGCAAATTAGGATACTTCAGTTTATGTATATTGTATAGTCTTGATAGCTTGTGTTTAGTTGCATCAAACTGTAAGCAGTTTTAACTCTGGTTAATAAGAATGTGAAAATGCAAGTGATGTCCAGTCTAGCTGGGTTGATGCACCGGGTTTTATACCCATGTGGGGCGTGAGGTCGGGAGCTCTATTCCCTTAAACTACCTCTTGTGGTGCCATATGTGAGGAATTTTTCCCTGAAAATCCCTATGGGGACTGGGTTTGCCCTGTAAAGGAGCTCGAACCCGGGGTGCTCGTTGAAATATTGCGAGTAGGCTCCACTTAATTCGTTTGCCGTTTCCAAAAAAAAAATAAGAATGTGAAAATAGAAATCTTTGACTATTTCATTAAGGTGTGAATACTTTGGGAATGAAAGTGAACTTGATAATGTCTTGAATAAAAGTCTTGGCCCAATACATTCAGCATCAGAATGAGGTTCAGGCCCACTCATTTTCAACATCTAGTTCTCGCCTTCTCGGCCTGGTAAAAGATAAAAAAAAAAAAAAAAGAAAACAAACAAACAAAAATGGTTTTTCTCTTATTGCTAATCTCATCCCATCCCATAATCTAATAAATAAGTAGATTTTTGGCACATGACATTCTCTAAGCCTCCCCATCGAATTTTTCCCGCTCCTATCATCTAACTGAATTTCCAAAATTGCCACTCCTAATTTTGAAATCAAATTCGTCTGGTAACTGATAAGACTTTCCAATTTGTGGCCGATATATCAGCTACTGATCACCGGAATTTGAGACCGCCATCCTCCCTCACCATAAACCCTATTCTCTCCACCCTCTTTAAAAACCTCATCAATCTCAGGACCTGGTTCTAAATTTTCACACATATATTAATCTTGAAGGAAATCCAATTTGATTTTCATCCATATTCGTCGTCACTCACCCTTCAACATGATAGAAAACATAACCTTGTCATCAACGTTTTCATCTTAGTTTTTTCTAATAAGTAATGTACCGTCAAAGAAAACCCTAGACATCGTCGCCGCTACTCTCTTTAAAAACCATAGATCCCCAACTGTCGCTATCACCCAGGCTTTACCATGGAAAAAAAATCATAAACCCACACTGTAGGTATATTTGCTCTTCTTTGACTGAAATACTTGATTTGCTTTTGGCATTCAGACCATCTTTTGCTTCTTTTGGTTTCTTGAAGACGAGATTGAAGTTATTAGTCATTGGGTTTAATTATTTCAGGTACAATCATCTTGCTATGATCAATCCGAGAATTCACTCTCTCAGTCAAAAGGTAAAACAAATTCTTCAAAGATCCATATGTGTAGGTTTTGCTGTTTTTTTTTCGTTTTGACACACAATCACAATCACTTACTATTAGTCTCTTATGCTTATAAAATTGTTTTAGATATTTAGTTTATTGGTGTGACCCTTATACATGAGCTCTTGCATCCATTCAGAATCAGAATGGTATATTTATTTGGGTATATCTCGGTGTTGAAATATTGACATGTTTGTTGTTCTTATGATATGCACTCTAAAGTACCCTTTAATTAATCATTTTCTGCTTAAGTTTGCTAAATTTGGCGTTACACATCTCTTTCTAATATGCAGGGTCCATATAAGGTTAAACACATAATCATTGGTGGTCCATATAAGGTTAGTAATTTTGTTCAATTTTATTATATCTTTACATGTTCTTGCATTATTCATTTTTCCCTTTTTCTTTACCGTTAATAAAATTATAACATGTTTATGTTTATAGAATCGATTGCTTATTCGTGCATGTATTTTGTTGTATCTGTGTAGGTGATTTTCAATTATAGCATCATAGATTCAAAGTACAACGATATTATTTTGAAAGTAGAATGTTATAATCCTCATGATAAGTATCACAGTAGGATGATACAATAAACATGACCCCATAATAACAATATATTGTTGCTTATTGAATGAGCTGATATTTGTGTATGTACTCAAGTGTTTTTGGAGGAATTACAATTACGTTATTACCCCTCCTGTTACTCCATTTTTGCATACGTTACAATTACATTATTACCCCTCCTCTTAATCCATTTTGCATATGTTACAGGATGATTGAAGTGTAATTTTTAAAGAGGATGCTGCATGTGTTTTTTTTAAAATTTAAATAGGGGCCATCCTTCAAATATTTTTATTTATGAGAGGGAGCATTCCAGTAATTTGTATAACAGGGAATGAATGAATGAGATTTTTTTCCAAAAAAATGACAATTATGACACTTTTTTTTGTCAATTTAGTCATTTTGATGTTTTTTTTGATAAATTTGACAGATATATTTTAATTTTTTTATTGTTATTACGGAATTACCGGCTCGAAACCTACCTAATTGCACCATTTTACTTTATTCTGTTTTCCAAATTATTATGGTGTTCTTTTTTTATTATTATTATGGCATCCTACATTGTAATAAACGACAAAGTATTATTATTGCATTATACTTTATTTTTTTCTCCAAATTATTATGGCATTCTACTTTTTTATGGTAAAAAATGGCTGTTTTGGCATAAGGTGACAATGGTTCTTTTTTTTTTTTTTTTTTTTTTTTTTTTTTTAAAGTTGATTTTACATGCAAAAATAGCATTTTAAAACAATTTATAGCATTTTAAACGAACATTTTTATATCAAGTACAATTGACTAAAATGAGCACATTCTTGTAAAATGGGACTATTTGACAAAGTGAAATTGGTAAAAATATAGCTTGTGTTGGCATTTGGTAAAAATTGTGTAAATCGAACATATTTTGGTCAAAATGAGATTGTTTTAGTAAGGTGAAAATGTTGCAAAAATTGCATTTTCAAAGCATTTTATAGCAATGTACTTCTAATAGAAATGGTATTTTAATATAAAGTAAAAATAGATTAAAAATAACCATGATATAGTTACAGATAACATTCAATGTTGTATAAAAGAAACTTTTTGCAAAGTTATGATTAATTATTATGATTTTTAGTCTTTATTTTTATTCTGTCAACCGTGTATTACACGAGTTATAACCTAGTATGATACATTATATAAGCGTTTCAGGATTTTGTAAAAAAGACCTTGAAGTGTTGTTGAAAAGAAAGGGTAAGAACAATGAAAAAAAATGAATAGCTTGTGGTGTACTAGGAGTCAAGACAAAAAGTTGGATAAAAAACATTTGTATAAGAATGGGGTTAATTTTTTTTTTGGCTGTTCAAAAATCACACTTGTCTCAAATAGATACTTTTAAACTATAGCCCTATAAAGTTTTGAGAATTGGTCTAATCAGTCATTAAACATTTTTTTTGGTTTTATAAGGGCATAAAATGAGTTTTGTCGGGTCTAATAGACACTTTGAATAAAATGAAGGTGTAAAAGGGTTACCCCTTATGCTAGCTCGTTTTTATTTTACAATAAAAGATAAAAAACATCCCCACCCCACGTTCATCCTACGTTCATCATCCATTGATATATCTCTCCTTTCTCTTTCTTCTCAAAATAAAATAAAAAGTCGTTGGAGTCCTCCGACCCGCCGCCAGAAACATCCGATCTGCCGCCGACAACCTCTTACCCACAACCGGAGAAGGTGTAGGATTTCGTCACCTAAAGCCTCCCATCTCCCACCCATTATCCCCTTACTGTCAAAACAATTTAGAACAAACCCTAGATCTCGACACCGCTGCCATTGTTTCCAGTGAATAGAAACCATAAACGAGGAATGTGTAGGGTCTCGTCACCACCATCGACGCTCGGTTTGACAACTATGTTGGTGGTGTAGTAGACCGGGTTAGATCCCGTTAAGATAACAATACTGGTGTTTTGGTCTGCTTATCCCCTTACCGTCAAATATGAGCACTTCTTTTCTCAAAGGAATGAATCTCTAACTCAATCTTTCAATCGTTTTAATTGTTTAATTAATGACATGAGAAGATTTGATATCTTCAAACACGAGTCTGTCTTAGTTCTAAAGTTTTTAGATTTTTCTCCAAATTATTATGACATTCTACTTTTTTATGGTAAAAAATGGCTGTTTTGGCATAAGGTGACAATGGTTCTTTTTTTTTTTTTTTTTTTTTTTTAAAGTTGATTTTACATGCAAAAAGAGCATTTTAAAGCAATTTATAGCATTTTAAACGAACATTTTTATATCAAGTACAATTGACTAAAATGAGCACATTCTTGTAAAATGGGACAATTTGACAAAGTGAAATTGGTAAAAATATAGCTTGTGTTGGCATTTGGTAAAAATTGTGTAAATCGAACATATTTTGGTCAAAATGAGATTGTTTTAGTAAGGTGAAAATGTTGCAAAAATTGCATTTTCAAAGCATTTTATAGCAATGTACTTCTAATAGAAATGGTATTTTAATATAAAGTAAAAATAGATTAAAAA